ACTCTTTGATTTTTGACTTTTAAGAGTTTCATCCATATTCCTATCTTTACTTGTATTCTAGTTTTTTATACTTTATACATGCAATTTCAAAGTAGAAGAGACCTTTCATGAAGTTATGCTCACACTTTTGACATCATGTGTAATACAAGATAGTCCATAGAAAAATATTCTATAGAATATTCTTGAAGATTGAATACAAGCTTTTGGCATTTTGTAGAGTAAAATTATCTTATTAGCTTTAGGTAGATGATGTAGAAAGGTTCTCATAGAAGGCCATATCTGAGGTGAATGTATATGTTCTGATTCTATTATTTGACATATTATTGTATACTTACTTTATATAATGATGATATGAAAATAGCTAAAAAAAGTGTATTTTTTTCATCTCATGTTGTTGATCCAAGGACAAATTGTAGTGCCCAAGTTGGTTAATTTTCGTTTGCCATTTTTTGATGGAAAGACCTTTTGCTATCAAAAGCCATACTTTGGATAATATTTTGTAAATTAACCAAAAGTGCTAGAATTGTGAAAAGTATTAATTATATTGATATTGTAAAAATCCTTGATTTTGAAGGAGAAAAAGAGTTCTAAGACTTCAAAGTTGCAATGAAGATTCTTGAGGGTTCTGCAAAGGTACAATATTGTGTCATTTACAAAACATTGATTCCTAACTGTAGTATTATTTGATAGTTCTAAATTCTCTATATTGTATGTCAAGTTATTTATCATGTAGGATAATACGTCCAGGATAAATAAATACATATATGGTATAAGGGACCATCTTTCCTTACTAAGCATTCAAGTATAAACTTATTATTCTTATACCTATTTACTATGACCATAGATTAGATACTTTGGTAGAATGTTGCACTCTACTTTATCTATTTCCAAAGAATCTAAATTTATATATTATCTATTAAAAGAATATCCAATTAATTCTATTATAAGCTTTTTAAAAATTAAAGAAGAAAATCATTAAGTCTTGATTATTTTTTCAGTTCAATAAATTGATTCCTCAGCTAGTAGCACATTCTCCAAAATATATTGGACTTTTACAAAGCCTATTTTGATTGAATATATATAATTCAAGAAAAGTGATTAAAGGTTGTTGACAAGTATCTTTATTATCAATCTGTAGATTGTTAAAAGAATAATAATGGATTAGTAATTGTAGATGTTTATTATTGCTTCGTCTATAGAGATTACATTGATGAAGCCTTGGTTGATAACATCATGAAAGTATCCATTTTTGAAGGCTTTATTAAAGCCCTCCATAAGATTCCATTCAATTATATGCTATATTTTGGTGAAGAACTCAATTATAATCATATCATCTTTCATTGTTTTGTATTTGAATAGATCTTTCATTATCTAATAAAATTCTATCATTGTAACTACTATTATAAGGTTATTATTTTATTCTCTTATGATTTTGATTGAAATACTATTTAGGCATATATTTCTATTGTTTGGATATTTTTGACCTTGGTATTATTGGTATTATAGAGAATTTTGTAGAATTGATATATGTAAGTAAAAATTTCCATTAACGTTGTTGGACTATAGCCTTTGTTAATGAGCTCTATATATTTAAGCACTTATACTTATTAATGTGAAACTTAAAGAAATCTTTTGAACACTGATTGTCTATACGGGACTACTTTGCTACTGTAGAATTTTCAGTAGCTTTTAATTTCGAAATGTAAATCTTGTCTATGAGATATTGTACTTATTTGAGTCTCATTCATGTTTGGCTATCCAACTAATTGATTTGTATTGCTTTCTTAGATTTATCTAATTTTCTAAATTATTTTTAATAGATTCATTTATTCTTTGTCTTCTTTTCTTTTCAAATTAAATTGCTTACTTGCCAAACATACTCAAGGATTGTCACAATTTTTTTGCAATAGGTACCTAATACTATGTTTAAGAATACATCATACCAAGCATGGATGAATCGGACTCTAGCCTATGGATCGTAAAAAAGTTGTCTATCAAATTGTGATTGCTTTTTATATTACAATGTTTTGAATTGGATTGTCAAGAATGTTGCTAAATGATTGAAGATGTATGCTACTTGTGGCCATAGTCTATGTGTATCCTCAAAGTAGTAGGAGCTCTTGATTAATATAGAAGTGGTCAATGTGAACCCCAAAAAAAAATAAGAAATTTTTTAAAAAAACATTTTTTCTTCTTAATCATGTTGTATACTATGTAAATATAAAAAAAAAAATATATAATGTGGACAAATGAATATTTTAATACATGAAAATTTTATTAAAGTTAAAAATCCTAATTAATAATAACAAATAGAATAGTTTTTAAAACATAAATTATATAATAGATCTTTATTGATAGGTATATATTATTTAATTCACATATAGCAAAAATCTGATAAAAGTAATAATTTTTAGTATAATATAAATTTAAATTAATAAAAAATATTTCATATGAATAACAATATATAGAAAGATATATTAATTGTTTTTATTCTTAAAATACTATAATAATCACATATAATTTATATTAATATGGAAGATTAAAGAAAAAATATTTTATATAAGGCAATATACATAAGCATCAAATTATGATCTAATTAGATTTTTTTTTAATTGAATAAAGCATGGACTTTGTGACTAAGTAGAATGATTCTATTATAGGAACCAATTCTCCATTGTTAGGATGAATGAAACTTTGTCGGTTATCTATCATCATCCATCTATTGATCTCATTGGATTTGATAATTTTATTTTTCTTTGATTTCATTGAACAAAAAAATTATATAAGTAGCTTTGTTTATTATTTTTAATAATCTATGCTACTATAAAATTATTAGGAAAAAATTAAATAAAATTTAAATAAAATTTTGATAATATTAAACTCTTTTTTAAGATTATTAAATAAACATATGAATTCTAGTAAAAATTAATAAATAAAGAATAAATTACACAATTTTTTTAAAGACACCTATCTTATATATAATAATACCAAGTATTGTCCTACAATAAATTTTACTATTATTTCAAAGATATATTCTTTTTTTTTCTACTCAAAGAATGGTATATACAAAATATATATTCACATGTATATTTTTATAGATATAATTTCTTAACACTGGTTTTTTTCTTTTTTATTTAAAATTATTCTTTTATCCACATACCAATATAAATGGAATTAAAATAGTGTCTTTGACACAATACCTTGTACAATTATTTTTACCAATATTTATATCATCATTTATCTTTAAATAATCATAATATGTGACTTAATCTTTATCTTTTATTTTTACTATAAAATCTTATCATTTATAAATAATTTAATATATATATATATATATATATATATACATAAGATTTAAATTTACAAGTTCATTATTATTCATACTAATTTTTCAATGTATTTATTGTATGAGTCTTATGATGATTTTTTTTTATATTAATAAAGCTTAAAATATAATGATATAATAAGTCATACCTATATATATATATATATATATATATATATAATTTTGATAGTAGTATATAATTAAATTAATTTGATGGTATAAAAAATATATATCATTATTAATAATAATAATTAAAATCAAATAAGAAACCATTTTTTTCTACTTTATCTACTATCAATGCCAAACTTTCTAAAATTTTATGTTATTTGTATCAATCAAAGCTTTAGATTTTAGAATTATTATATATTATTATATATTATTATTTTAAGATGATTATATATATTCCTACCTATTATTATTGATAGCATCAAAAAATCTATCTTCATCAATAATTTTCTTTATAAATAGAATAGCATATAAGAATTCATGTATTTTATAATATTTATTAGGTGTTCTTTTTTTCCAATCCAACATGTTTGAAGAATAATATTCTTTTCAATTTTTTACCAAGTCTAGAGAATCTAGTAATCTTATTCTTTTTAATTGTTTTGTAGTAAATTACACTAATATTTTTTATAATATTAATTAAAATTAAATTCACAATTTTAGATTAAAAGTAATTTAACATATTTCTATTAACTTCAAGCTTTATCAACATCATTCAATGTAACTAAAAACAATTAAATATATCACATTGAGAAGAACATGGCCACGTCAAATTAGGTGCCCAATTCATACCTTGGTAATTGTTTTCTTCACCCATTAATGAATGTCAGGCAATTTGAACAAATATTATCTATATGTATGTATGCATACATATGTATTTGTCTTTCCATGCACCCTCCCGCTAAAATCAGCACTTAGAACCAAGGGGAGCAGAGCCCATAAGGTCTAAAAACAGCAAAGGCCAAGAAGACCTTGGCCAAAAACCGAGGGTGGCCTAAACCCAAGAGTTAGGCAAGAATTATGAGAAAAAAGTTAGAACTTGATATCAAGTGCAAGTGGCTACACAGACACTATCAATCAGCAAACTTGTTGTGTACTGCTAATAGCTAATATCACTTCAAAGTGTGCCAGTAGCACCAGCCCTACCAGCTAGTGACCATGGTCTACTGTCTCACATCATTTGATGAACAAGTTTGAGAAACACAATGTGTATGCATGTGGCTGTAAAAAATGGCAAGAATGAGTGAGAGTTATTGGGGGCACAAAACAGTGAAGAAGGAGCAGGAAAACTCACAAGACCATGCATGTTATGCTACAGAGAAGCTGATCAAGACAATGGTGAGAGAGAGGGTGTGTGGGGTACAGCAACTGCGGGAACAGTGCAGCGGAGTTTCTGAAGCGTTGAAGCGATGGCGTGGGGCTAGATCAGGCCTTGCACTGTGGGTACCCCTCCACAGAGGCCTCTCAAAGTGGCCGCCACGAATCAGACCAGTACTACACTAATAACAACAACAACAACAACAAAACTGCTACAAAACAACACCAACAAGCACTGCAAGACACGAGACCACAGTCTCCGGAGCGGTAAGTGGTGATATAAGAGCTCGTCACTGCAACTCAGAAGTCGAATTCTGTGCGGAGCTGGTTTTGTGAAACATGTTTCGACTGGCTTCTGAACGGAGCGTTGGGAGTGCAGATTGTTTGGATTTATCTGCTGATGTTTAGTAGAAGATCAGATGTAGAACATTGTGGTTCTGGTTGTTTCCGCAGGTTGACGAGAAGTGCCTGCGAGAGATGTGAAGTGAGAGAGAATGACGGTGGCTAGAATTCTGGTTGTTGTGTCATCTACCAAGAGACACGCACCGTCGTGACGCATTTGGCTGAAGAATTGCGACTCAGTTTTCTCGATGGATACAGATCCTGAGCTCGCAGGGGAGGAATCCACAACCTGCAATTGGGTCTGTGAGTGGGAGTAGGTCGCGAGCAAGCGTGAGGGTGTTGCGTCGTGTTGGATAAGAATCTGTGAGAAGCTGAAGGTCTGTTGGTAAAGCCACAGTCTGTAGCAGGGAGAGGAAGATTCAAAGTGAGAGTCTCGCTTGTGGATCATGAAAGCGGTTGGGGACGTGTACTGTCGCCGCCGTTTGCCAAGAGACGTATTTAATAAAAGCACTTGCGGAGGACGCACGGTGCTTCACGAATTCCCAACACCATCAAGAAACTTAGAGAGGCTGCAGATGCTCACACATGTTTCGCATTAAGTTCTTCGCCTGATCGGTAACTGCTCAGTGAGTTGGATAGAGAGATCAGTTGTTGTGTAGGTGGCCGGCCACAGTCCATCGCGCCCGTTTCGAACCTTCATAGTTTCTAACTCACCGCTTGTATTGAAGAAAACTGGTTCGTCCGATTAGATTGATTGTGTTGCTTGCGCTTTAATTTCTGAACCAGAGTGAGAGGGAGATCGCGAATAAATTTCAGAGACGGTGCGGGGCACGAATGCAATCCCGGACATGATGAGGGTGATGAGCGAGAGTTGGAGTTCATGTTTGGAGCTCCGGGTTGCGTGAGAGTGAAGCGCTGAGGGCTGGCGATGTAGTGTGTGGCAGAGGCTACCTTAACTGAATCACGGTGTGACCCCACCGTGTTCGTTACTCCAGCCGACCAGGGGCGGTGGTGGTGGTGGTATCTAGTTGCTTCAAAGTGGGGGATGCCGTAACCAGGTTCAATGCCGCAATGCAATGTGATCTGAGCGACGATCTTCTTTGATATATTGCCGGGAGCATTAATACTCTCACAGGGATGATGAATACCGCAACCAAGTCCTCGTCTGCCGCAATACTCAAGAAGGCGCTACTCACGCCGCGTTTTCACTTCGCGTAGCTGCAGGCCATCCGTCAAGTGCGGCCGACGTCTCTGGCGCTCGCAGATCCGTAGCAATTGAAGCGCTGGAGGAAGTAAATAAAACTACGCGATCGAATTTCCAATGTGTCGGAGATGAGAATGCTCGTGCGAGCCGCTGCAGTGAGTCTTGTGTGAGTCGACCACGTCGTGTATTGGACCGACAATCTCAAAATCAGATCGTCTCATTTACTTACCACCGCTGCAAGAAACCTCTTAAAGTAACTGTCAGTGTTAGCAACCGCTGATCAGAGCCAATGGATTGTGCCTTGGAAGCTGGATTGGTGAGCTCGTGAAGCACAAACCAGGCTTGTGTCGCATTGGATTGGCAGTTGTTTCAGGGTGCTTGGGAATCGGAGGATCACTGTGTGCACCACACAACTGCATGTGGGTTCGACGTCACGAATGCTTTTTCAAGCTCTGGGAAATGCCGAACGAGCTAGTGTGACATAGCTCCTGAGGTGATGGCCACATCTTGAGGCTTCGACGATGACACAGCGATGACTATCTGAAGAAGATTTCAGTATGGTTGCGGTGAGCACCCCTTCTCTAAGATGTGTAATGAAGTCTCTGACATCTAATCTCTCTGCTTGGATCTCGATTGTGTGGCAAGAATTATCTTCGACGAACGTGTCTCAGATAAGCACTGCTCTGACCTGCTAATCTATCTCTTCCTGGATATACTTCTGAATGTCCGAGCTCCGTTGTGAATTTCCGTCTAGAGCTCGATTTCTGGGTATTTAAGAACAGGGTGAATCCGAAGGCAGACGACAGGTGAAGGTCTTCGAGCTCCCACCTCAGAATTGAACCCACTTTTGTTCATGTCCCTCTGTAATACTGCCTTTCTTTTTGCAACTCCGAGGACGTCGCTGTGGCTGGTGACAGAGGAGCACTGTAATGGCGGTCTGCTGGAGCTTTGCTATGGTGCTGCTGATTGCGCTGGCATCACTTCATGTCTCTAGCCGGTCTCTTCCTGAACCTCCGGCAGGTAAATATTCCCTTCACTCTCGCATTTCTGGAATTCTTCCCTCTCTCTCGCTCCCTTGCACTAGCACGCAAACCGACGTGTACCCATGTAGTTAATGTGCTTTTCAATTAGAAGAGCTTACGAGAGACAGCGTGATTGGTGCGATTTTAAATTGCAAGATTATTCATGGAACAGTAACGATGGGTTGTTTAAGAAATTCATAAATGATGACGAAAAGACGTATACGAACACCCAACATGGCCAAGTGGAATTATTCATTACGAGGTCAATGAACATGTTAGACTGTTCAGAAGTGCAAGGATATGATGTTAGATCTTTTCGGAGGCGATTTGTGTATTACGCATTCTTGTAGTAACTTGTGTTAGCTCTTGACCTCTTGAGCTCTGGTTATAGATGATGTTGCAGGTTGTGTGGTGATTGCGGCCAAGTTGGAGATTTGTAATCTTCTTAAGTGCTTCTTCTGAGGTGATTTCTTGTGGTTTTGATTGATGGGCACGTTCGGCAGGATTTTACATCAACAACTCGCGACACTTGGAAGCTTCTGAGGCTTCGATCAAGAATCTAAATCCACGTAATGTGAGACTTCTGACCGTTGCCGAGAGCATTCAGTTCGAATAGCCGCACACTGGTTCTTAATCTGCACAGAAACGCCTGATCGTTGTAAATTTTAGTTTGAGTTCAAGGATGAATTATTCATATTTAGACTCCACAACGGAGTCAGAAATTTTCAACCTGTCGAAAGAAATTGAAAAATAATGCTAAGTTTGCTGATTTGGATCAACGCTACCGACGTGGAATATAGGCATTGGTAGGGCGGTCGGATGTGGAGCAAAGCTGGAATGTCCTAGTCGGTCGACGAGGTCGGTTTCGTAGGCTTGTCCAACAAGACGATGACCTTGTTTGTGACGCGCAACTCACGTGCATGAAGAAGGAAGTTGCGAAGTCGACGTCGAGCATGCTCGACGTTGTAGAAGGATTACGAACTCGTGAAATTCTTGTCAACTACCGACTGCCACAAAGGAAACCTACGCCGTTCCAGTCTGAGCGGATGGTACCCTCGGGCCCTAATCCATTGCACAATAGCAACAGGTCGCAGGTCATTTTTCCATGAAGCCTCGCAATGTGTAACACACGGCACCTAGCTAAAGTCGCAATGTTGAACCCTAGTTTCTCCGATGTCAACCACGGCGGGTGCTTCTTGATGGGGATTCTGCTCATCCCTGTCGTCAGATCAAGGCAAACCTAGTTTACAGCTGCGACCCACATTAGTTGGAACGAGAGCTAGGTCACGAGATTACCAATCTCGCGGTAATCATTGAGTGGGATGATTGTCTTGGAGGAAGATAATGCATGTTCGATACCCTCGAGGCTTCAAAATTGCTTGAATCGAGTACTTTGATAATGAGAGGGTCCTTTTCCAACCATTCTTGGAGCAATGTTTCTTCAGTCAATTTTCTCACAGATACACATTCAGTGCCACTTTTTCATCAACATTACTAATTCTTGTCCTTTACTAGCCTCGCAACTGCCTCTAATCGCCATATTACAATTGAGACTCATGCCTGAACAAGTTTTTTGCACTTAAACGTGTCAAAATAGTATGTTGAACTGATCAGATAGAGAGTACTATTCGCTGAGTATGTGGACGCTGAAGTTTCGAAACTAAAATGTGAAGCTGCTATGAACTGAGCGTCCACTCGCTCTTCATCCTCTTCCACTCTCCAACTGTGTCGCCAAAATTTTCCAACCATTTCATCTGGTAGTGGAGAAGCAGAAAATGGGAGAAGAAAAGCCATGTTCTGTCAGCACCCTCTGTGGACACATTAGAAACAGAATTTGATGCTGCAATCTCAGATTGCAGACTCAGCTTGGCGTTGCTGACGTGATGCAGGCGATGTAACGTGTAATAGCGCTATTCTGTGTGCAATCAGAAGGAGGGCGTTGTCGAGTCATTAGCCAGAACCTGGTCCGAGGTCTGGAACTAACCGTTCCTTCTACAGCATGTGACAATGATGGGGTGTCCCTGTCTATGGTCACCTCAATCCAATCCCTCCCACAACTCCACGCAGTCGCGAACGTCGCTGGCAGGCCTCATTACAACAAAAAAAACAAAAAACCAAACAGCTTGCTCGCGACGCAGCCCTTCATCAACCAGTCAGACAATCGGATTCTGCATTAATGGTCGAAACATTCTGTTTTCTTCTCTCATTGACTGCAAACTAAGACAAGACAGTTCACAACGTTGTTCAATACGGCAAACGCGGCGCGTGAATGACAACATTCGGAGGAATTGATGACGCTATGCGTGACGGCCGCGGCGTCGCCACCATGAGACGAGGGCCTTGGCAGCGGGCTTGGAATCACTAATTTTATAGATATGTATATATATACATATATATATATATATATATATTATTGTATTTTCGCACTGGATGGTATCGTCTTTTATTATTTATTATACTGCCAAATGTGTTTTTTTGTTTCTTTGCTTATCACGATGTTACACATAATGAATTGTGAGATGATGGGAACAGATGGATGTCTCCATATGACAGTTTGGCCAAGGGATCTCAGATACTATTTAAAAGGGTGTAGTTTTGTTACAATTATCATGAAAACCATTCCTTGATTTATTATTTTCAGTCCATGTCTTGATCCAAAAAATATGGAAATTATTTTTTAAATGATTTTATATGGTTTTTTAAAGCATTTTATTGACAAGATTTTCTTGAATTTCTCTCAAAACTAAATCTTTTAAATGCCATGTAGGAAATTATTACATTCCACCTCATTTTTTATTATTTTTTTCCTTGTAGGGCTTTTGGACTATAAGAAGACTTTTCTTCACTGAGTAGATGACCTTGGTAAGACTTTCGAACCATGGCCATTTAAAGAAGGTCCCTAGATATAAAGTGATCCTAAGACACCTACTAGAATAGCATTATGTAATATAGTTATTAGTGATATGTAGTATACTAGTATGAATGCAAAAATGGCATATATTTTCTTTTCTTTACTTCTCTTTTAACCTATTTTATTTTTAAAAAAATATTTATTAATTAAAAATATAATAGATAGATGATATATTTTAATCTTTAAAGTGAATATTTTATTATAAAATTTATTTTTTAAAGTAAGTATTATTACAATTCAAGCTTTTTTAAAAAATAATCTTTGTTTATTAAGAGTGTTATTTTTTTATTTCCATTTTAAAAATATTATTTGTAAGTTTTTTGATAAACTTTTTTCTTAATATTTTGGTTTCTTTAAATAAAACCATACTTTTGAGTATCAATACTTTTTTCTTTTTAAAAATTTTTTTGAAACATCAATTTGCAAAGGTTTAAACTATTTAAAGTGATTCTTTAATGTACTTATAGTATATAATTTAAAAACATGCAGTAAAAGGGTATTGCTAATGACGTATATTTTTGGGATGGAGAAGATCGACTAGATTTCTCAGCAATGCATGTGTGATAAAAAATAATAAATCAAGATAGTGATTGATAATTTTCTATGTTTCTTTTATTAGCAGGGGCTCAAAACTCCATGTTTTTATCATATACTTTAACTTAGCTTTAAACTTTTATTGATATGTAATATTTTTTATTGATGTTAAGTAATCAAATAATTTTATCATATTCAATTTGATCAACAAATTAATTTTTTCACATAAATTTTTTGCTTTATCTAAAATAAAATATTAAAAAAGAAAACACCAAACTTTTTTTTTGTTATTTTTGAAAGGAAAAATAATAATTTTTTTTTTATAAAAAAAATCCTAATAAAGAATAATATCAAAAACCAGAATTTCAGAGGTACCAATTGTAGCAATCCTAATATATGTATTTACAAATATATATTAGGTTTAATAAGAAACTCTCATCTCTTGGTCTTAATAAACCTAATATATATTTGTAAATACATATCACAATAATTAAATACCTTGAATTTCTAGTCTTAAATCATACATATGAAACCATTGTACACCGCACTATTATAAGCTAGTTTAGTGATTAACAACTCATATATCCTAAGCGCATAGCATAGCTGCAAATAAGACTCTTTAATCTTCCAGAATTCAAGCAACATTAAAATACAATTCATCTTTTTATCATCATAGAAGTGGTGGCACTGCCGCAAGTAAGTTACACATGACTAAGACAAGATACTAAATCTTTGCACAAAACATAATACCAAGACAGTGTTTGCAACATGATACTAAAACTTCGCAATAACTTGGATTTAGAACATGATATTAAGATTGTATGGTCACCCGAAATTAGATATTAATGTATAGCCGGTTCTACCTTCCAGGAACATAAGTACATGAAGCAGAGACTTCGCAGTCACTTGGGACTATAGTATGATTCTACGAATCCGTACTACGAATAGACCACGAGAGTAAGACTCCATAGCCGCCTGGGACTAGAATATGATAGGTACAAAGCTGGATCCAATCTGGATCACGTCTGATTGAAGTGGACTATTTACCTATCACGGCGGCTAATCTGCACTCGTTACGAGGCTAGTTTCATTAATCGGATATCGGTAGCTGCAGGCGGGTTTCTGAAATTTCCGTGCAGAGCTTGAGTGTGTGGGTGTGATTCGTTATCGCTCACTAGATGGGGGTCGATAGATGACTGACACACAAGGTTGAGTTGCGTTGAGTTTCGTTCATCGCCAAAAGGCTTGTAGAAAAAAGCGTTGCGAAAGTGAGAATCGAGAGGAGTTGGGTGTTGTTCATAACTCTGGAACAATTGATAGCGGGTATTTCAGGTGGGGGTTGTGCCAAATCTGGTCTGGGCATGTACACGCTTCTCGTATTTTACAAGAATCAAAACTTTTGAGAGTCCAAGAGATAGGTGACTTATTCGGCTACGTGCAAAGATAAGATAAGAAGAGAAGGTTGATGAATTTGCCGTGAGTCTTCATAGCTTCTGCTTTCCTTGCTGCTCTGTTAGCTGCCTTGGCTCGACGTGCCTCGGCTGCGGTTCTGAGCTCCACAGCTTGACGCTGCGCCATGGCAAGCTTGTTTGTTAGTTTCTCCAGAGCATGAGCCTTCATGTGCTCTACCTTGACCTGCAACTCGCATACCAATGAATCAATCAATCTATCTATCTATCTATCTCTCTATATATCTATTAATCCTCAGCAACTATTAAAAAAAGAGTAGACAATGATCGACCAACTCACACACCAGAAGGTGATATTCAAATCTTACCTCGACTCTGCGCATTTCAGCTTCCGCCTTGGCCTTCTCATGTTCCTCCCAGGCCCGTATCTTGGCCTCGTCCTGCTGGAATCTAGACATATACTTCGCCTTCTCTGCCTCCTCCCACGCTGCAGCGCGAGTTGCCAGGACTGACCTCTGCAGGTTTTCCAACTCTTGCGCACCTTTGTTACCTTCGAGCACGGTTTCAACATCTTTCTCTTCCCCTTTCGCCCACGCAGTGATGTTAGCCTTCCCTAATTGTGTCCCCAGCGCTAAAATCTCCTGCCTCGTTTTCTCTTGCAGTTCTTTCTCACTCCACGCACGCGGAGACTCGGCAGCAGCAGCTTTGTTTTCCGTCGCTGCTCCATGCGCATCATCATTACAAGTGGCGATGATCGTAGGCCCCGCTTGGATATTATTCACTGGGTTCTTCTCGGGAGTGGTGGATCTGATCGGGGTACCTGTGCGAGACGCCTCGACCGACACGATTGGTGTCATCGCAGTGCCCATGTCCCGTGTCGCAGCAATGCGAGAGAACTCATTTCTCAGCTCCGAGTCTATGGGTGGGGATTCCACTTTTGGTCTTGCCCCTCGCCGCGCCAGCTTCAGAAAGCTGCCATTGCACTCTGGAGAGACGCTTCCATTGTTAGCCGCTTCAACCCCGCCCTCCATGGAACTGTACCGATTTAGCAACAAGTTTAGTTTCTCCTTTTCGTCCGGGGAGAAGTCTAGCAGCACGCCGCCTGCACCTGGCGACCTTGCCGACGACTTCTTCTCAGCAACGTCCACATTTTCGGTTAATCCAGTGGTTTGCTGGAATGCGAATCCTGTTAAGGGACCTGAGTAATACCGATCAAATTGCGAGCTAAGAGGTCCTCGCCGCGGCATCAGTATCCCGGCCTGGCTCGCAACCATTTGAGCCAACAGAGGTCCACTAGTACTACGAGTGGTCGTGGTCGTCGTCTTCGCGGGCGTGTCACCACACGACAGCCACTTCTCAGCGTCGTCCCACTTGGAGGGTGTGGGCTTCAGGAGCGGTATCCTGAGAGTCTTGTGCGCATGCACGCGGGTAAGGCTGTCCGATTCTGTCGCTTTTCCATCAAGCTCGTGAAGGGAGTTGGAGTCGTATCCAGTTCGAGGCATGTAAGTTGCGTTGAAGCTGAAAATCCCGGCGGATCCGTTCATGACGCTGGCGGATTGCGGCGTTTTGGTCAGGGGAATTCCACCGCGCTTCACCTTCCGCGCACCCGGCTCCACAGTCTTGTCCGCGAGTGCAGACTGGATGGATTTGAAGGGAGCCGTTTGGGATTCCTTGGCTTCTCCTCGCAAATCATCGTGGGCCATCGACCAGCCGTTCTCTTTGGCAGCGCTGGAATCGGTCTCTACTCGCCGGAGAAGCGGCGCTCCTGCAAGACGTTACAGAATTAAACTACAGCCCTCCATGTCCCTGCTTTTACGTCCCAACAAACTTCGCTATGGCAGCAAATTCGAGACACACTGATACCACAAGGTCTAGCCATGCCTCGACATCGACCATGGCGTGTACATGCTGGCAATAACAGAACTTGCAAAACGCTTTGATTCTTCCAGAAAATGACCTTTCAGGATCGGCCTTGTGGGGATGGTGCAGCCAGATTTCTCAAGTCTTCGTGTATCTCCAATCTGAAATCAATCAGGACATTCATTTGATCACTTCGCTGGATCGTGTTCCGAGGTGAATACGACGCACAGTTCTTAACAAAGTAAACTAACTAGAGAGACAACAGATGTCTCAAATGCGCGGACAGAAAAATTTCACAAGAGGAAGCCACCGAGTTTGCGAATGAGCTGCTGCCCCAGAAGGTACGTTACTTTGCGTGGCTCCGATGCAGGAAATGCACGAGGCGAGGCTTCGTCGTCATAGTCTGGGGTCGATATCCCACCACGCCTCGTCCCTCTGTACCTTCCTTCTCGGCCTCTGCCAGGTTCACTAGATGCCTTGGAAATCGTGGACATCGTTGAACTGCTCGAGTTGCTCCGCATGGCTGAATTTTTGATCACGCATGTAGGGCTACTTTCACCTTCATGTGCAACCCAAATTGTAAGCTAAAGAAAACAGACACCGACTGTTTTCTGTGCATACAAAGATTTGCTCCGGGAAAAGTGAAATTCAATTCTCAGTACCTGATTCGTCTTCGCTTTGGAGCCGGCCGAGAAGGATATGCTGAGTGGGGCTGTCCTTCCCTACTCGGTGATGGTATCCCTCTTTGAAGCTGGCGGGAGTGGAGCAGGGGTTGCAAGACTTAGAATCGAGAGCTCTGTGACCAGCTCTGGATTTCGGATAAGGAAGACTCTCTGTCTCCACATCGTGTACTAGAGTACCAGGAGCTGCTTTTACCTGATCGGCCTGTACTGTCCGCCCGCCATCTCCAGTCTGGTTGCAGGCGACCATAGATAGCGTTAAATATTGCCACCCAATTGGCAGCAACACACAAAATTAAGATCCCTCAACAGTGTTGGCCGTTTAGATTGGTAGCACCAACTTCTACTGATCAGGCAGATTTCTTGAGGTTTTTATGATTGAAGTTCGTCAACATGCTCAGAAGTCACCAATGAGGGCTGCGATTTGATAGTCTCCTTCGAAGTTGTGTCCACACAATCTTGCCACCCCCCCCCCCAATTTCTCTGGATTGAAGTAGTCAAAATTCGGCTACGACTGAAAGGCTCTGTTTGCTGCTACTGATGCCAACTTCAGCAACATCCAGCAGTTGAGCTAAGGCCTCGAGAATAATTCTTGAACTATGTCCCTATCTGCTTCGTGATTCAGTGAAACAGAGTGCGATGACGATTCATCATCGCCTCAAGCTCTTCATCAACATCTTCAACCGGCCAATCTCTGCGAAGGAGAGTACTATCAGACTTGAGCATGTTCTGAGTGGGAAGCAGGTGAAATGTTCCAGTTCAACATCGTGGCGGAAGGATACACATTTCGAGGCGATTAAAAAAGCCCGAGAGGCTAAAGATAGAAAGGTTAGGTGAGAGGTCTGGGAATCGCTGAAAGCCCTCAAGCTTTGAGTGACCACAAACACTGAGCATTCTAGATTTCTTCTTGATCTGCCCTAAAACAGGGTAACAAGCTTCTGGCTCCAGTGCAATCTCTAGACTATCCGAGACAGACTATTCTGGATAACTCTCCAAAATGCAAACCCGGGTATGTGACATCGGAATTAGAAGCTGCAGCAGGAGACTCTAGTAAAAACATAACTCTACTTCTTCATAAACTATACGGTGTTGCCGAGCAGTACTCGCAGCATCACAGGAGAGAGTTAGTCCACTTCACAGTGGCTTCGACGCATCATACTCTATAGTCACCGCTCAGTGTAGAATTAGAAGTACTATTCCTCGAAGGAAGCTAAAACTTAGCCGAAATCTTACAGAAATACAGCCATTTCGCAAGCAACCACCTAGAGACTCTTAGTTAGATTGTCGAAGCAATGGATACCGACCAACGAGTGGATACCAGGAAATAGAGCAATAAGATGAAACCCAGATCAGTCGAGTTTATTCAGAGTCTCGCCTGCAACGGGGACGCAGCTGTGAACAAACATGACAGAAAACTCAACAAATTGCTGAAGGCTCATCGGCTTACCACAAGCTAGCTGCAATGCGCGATGCCCGCGACGAGCAATCACCAGATATGGATCTCTCTCTCTCACTGCACCGCCACCTCAAAGCTTTCAGATGACTATTCTGGAAAAGCCAGCTTGAGGGGGATGAGAGTAAGAGTGAGTTGATCGAGGAAGCACTTCACCCATCCTGCAATGAAGCCACAGAGCTGAAATTCAACAAAACACTTGGCTCGCTGGTCCAGTTACAGAACACACGAGCGCGCTTTTCTCTCTCTCTCTCTCTCTCTCTCTCTCTCACACCACCACCACCACCACACAAGCGGCCGAGAGTCAAAGGAACGACCCCGAAATGGCGAAGCTCCGATCGTAACAAATGCCACCACACTCGTCGCCCGCAAGTCAATCACGCTGGTCTGCCGCAACCAGCTGGCTCCCCGGCACGAGTCAAAGAAGCAGCAGAAAGACGATGAGTGGAGACCCTGGCCAGTCTTTTCCGCACCGATTCTAGACGGGTACGATGGGTTTGAAACCAGGCCCGCCACTAGCGTACCGTCCCTCTGTGCGACTTGCGCTCGCTCAGCACCGATCGGACCATGGAGCAGGTACGATCGCAGTGGAAAAAGCCGGTTCCATCGACTGGTTTCACGCCAACGGGCAGTTGCGATGCGGCTCAAACCAAAAGAGTGTTGTCAGGCAGGGAAGCTTGAGAGCGCGAGCCTGGCAGTCAGGTGCAGCAGGAAACTAGCTAGCCGCAGAGAGAAAAGGGAAGGAGGGAGAGCCAGACGAGGACCCCTTCTCTCTAACAGTCACTTTGCCTCACATGCTGTGATCAGCTGCTGGCTGTGGTACCCATCTCGTCACGCACCGAAAAGTAAACCCATTTGGAAGAATCCCAGACAGTCTATAGATTGAATGCAAGTTCATTATAGGAATCTGCAGGTGCTTAGAATGGCCATTTACACGCTCTCTCACTGCATGGCGTTTATTTCCGCACGCCTCTTTATTTAGCTACTATTCACCTTTCATCCTACGTGGCAAAGCACCAAAAAAAACATTGAAAAAAAGAAGAAGAAGAAAAAGCCCTCCTCCCCACTGCCCCCACCCTCGCGACGACCCATTTTCCCTTTTCTGATCCCTTCACCAGAACTACTAGTCGCAAGATTTCACATAATCTCTGGTTTCGAGTCTCGGCCTAATCCCATTCTTCCAAGCGCTTGGCTCTCATCCTTCCAACTTCCCCTTCCCCTCTGACCGTTCGCGGGCATCCATCACAAGCTTGCACTGCCTACATCTCCACTGCCGAAAGCGCCTTCACGCCTAAAACCTGAACTCCAACCTGAACTAAAAAGCTGAAAAAATAATAAATAAATAAATAAATAAACGAACAAACAAACAAATAATGTACTGCTTCCCCTCCCTTTCTACGTCCGATTCCCTTCCGAGAACCCAAACTCTACCTACTACCCTTACGTTGGGGATTTATTCTACGAGCAATAGAAGAATATCACAACTTCGTGGTCGTAGTTCCAGTGAAAGACTAACTGCAGGGAGGGAGAGGAGTAGTGCTGGCATGGATGGTCTAGAGCCTAGTTTTTTAGTCTACTAGCACAGTGAGAGAGGCTATGCTAGGGAAGTGCTGTGCTGTGCTCCCCTGACCTGGCTGTAGAAAAAGCCGAGTGGGGGCTATGAACAAAGTGAAGCCGTGGTGAGCCAGCAGGGCTCAAGCATGGTCCTGCCCACATGGGCCCACTGCACTGCACTGCTCTCTCTTCCTCTCTTATCTCTTTTCTCACTCCTTTTTTTTTTTTTTTTTTTTTTTTTTTTTTTCTTACCTCCATTCCTTGGCCATTCATTCCTTCCTTGGCCATCCTCCTCCATGCATTGTTGTCGTTCTTGCAGTAGCAAAGCTGCCTGCCTGCCTGCCTGCCTGCCTGCCTGCGTGCTGGGTTGTGCCCACGCTGTGCTGTGCAAGGACTGGGGACGGGGAGGAGTGGGGAGGGAGGAGCCCAGCCTCGTGGGTTTCACTGTCTCACCGTGACAAGCCCCTCTGCCAAACTGTCTGTCTGTCTATGTGTGTGTGTCCGGCCTTGCTGGGAAGTGATGAAGTGAAGTGAAGCGAAGTGGGCTTTCTCTGGCTAACCAAGTTATGTGGGGGATGGAGGTGCTGGATGGTGGATTGAATAAGTCAGTCAGACTGTGTGAGTGAGTGAGTGGAATTTGTGTGTGTGTGTGTGTGTGGAGTGTCTGAACTTGGGAATTGTGTTGGACCACTGCAATTGGAATTCTGCTCTTTTTCGTCACTGCTGCTTGCCTCTGTCTCTCTCTCACTATTGGGGTAAGAGATGAAGGCTTTATTATTAGTATTAGTATTATTACGACCTTTGTTGGGGTATGTATGTATGTATGTATGTTGTGTGAAAGAGCCTTGTGTCGGGGTTTTGACCATTAATGGGATGGGATGCTTGAAATGGTGACCAATCTTGTTCATGTCCGTCTTGAAAGATCATGCCATAAGACCAAATTTTGATATCTCACTTTCTTTTTCTTTTTTTACAACCTTTTTTATTTTAAATAGATTTTAAATATTAAAAAATATAAATGAAATAATAGATTATAAATATGATTTTACATGGTATTGAATCCTTGCATTTTTTACATCTAATATTAACTTATATATATATATATATATATCTATGTATAATCCAACTCATATCTACATCAAATCACTTCATATATTTTCCAGTTCCTTTATGTAACTATTTATTACTTCTTCATTAAAAATTGCACATATATTATTAATTTTGTGATAGGATTCTCACTTTCATTTTTATTGTAGTTTTAAAATTTACTTGGTTTAACTTATGTTAACAGAGTAGGAATAATTTAATTTTTTTTTTAAAGATACAAAGCCCATAGATATGATAGTCTTCTTTTCGTTTCTCTTCTTCTATCTCTGAAGTATTTTAAAACAACTTTGATTTCAACAAAACTTTACAATTTCTAATTCTTTTCTAGAATCTGTGTTTCTCTCCTTCATTCATCTCAAAAATTTATCTTTCTTTTTCATTTTGTAAAATTTACAGATTCCCAACTTCAAAATTTAGAAAAAAGGAGAAACAAGTAAAATAAAATAAAAGAGAATGATAATTTATTATTTCAAATTGTATGAAATTCCATGTTGTTATTTCAAAGACTTATGATGTTGTAACTAATTGCTCTCCAACAATGAATGCATATATATATATATATATATATACATGTATAAGTCATGGAAAGAATTGCATATACTTTTCAAAAGTGGCGACAAGCATATAATACATTAAAAAAAGTCATCATATTCCTATTCTTTTTATAATAATAATAATAACAATATAGGATATTGTGTTTAACTTTTATGCCACAACATGTTATGGAGATACTTCTACTGACAACATTCATGCAAGCCGACATGACATGCAGTAGCCATTAGATTGTACACAAAAATTTTGAACCCACAAATTTTAAACATAAAATACAATAAAAACTCATAGCAATCTAGCCTAGAAACGTTTTAACTATTCAATCAATATTTAAAAAAAAAAAAAAAAAAAAAAAAAAATCATGATCATCCCCACAACCCAAATAAACTCTTTAACTCTCCAAGTGTTGAAGGGAATTTGAATGAGGAGTAATGACCTTCATTGTGCAATCATGATAATAAGAATAAAAACATTTAATTTTTAGAAGAAAAACGAATAAGTAAATAACACACACTATTCAAAGAAATAAATAACGAGTGGGGGAATTAAAAGTGCCTTGTTGCTGTTACTTTACATGGCCATGATATCATTATTATTGCTTTTCTAAAAATATATTATTAGTATTATTATTAATAATACTACTACTACTACTGCTGTTACTTTAGTACACTCTCTTTCTCATTTACGAACGAATGTGGATGGATGAAACGAGCTTCCTATTCCCCATCCAACGTTCGTCCATGGTAGGTGGATGGATGAGATGGATGATGTTATTAATGGATAACAGTGTGCCAGCAGCACCCACCTCCACAATCTTTTCGAATTCAATGGCACATTATTAAAATACTCAAAGATATAAATTTGAATGAGGGAAAGGGTGTGCAGTTATGAGGAGGAAGAGGAGCAACATTAAATACCATTGAAACAGTTTATATCATTGGGATTTGTGTGTATGTCAGAAAAGAATGGGGGAACGAATGAAGCTCACAGCACGGGAGTCAAACGAATGAAGTTTCGGATGGATGTCGCGTTGGTGATGTGCGCTAGCCCTGATTGTTCATTCATCCTTTTATAGTACATCCGCTTCATTTCACCACAGGGCGACAGATGGATAGAAGGGACGAACTGGAATGGGTTGCGGATGAACATGAAAGGAAAAGGAGGTGTGGACGAATGAAAAGGGGTGATTTTTGGCTGGACAACGAACGCCATCCACATCCATCACCATCCATCACCATCCATCGCCATCCCTCGCAACTACTTTGTATGGGGAGCCCCCTTTCTCGCCCCTTTCTGGCCCCTTTCTGGTTGATTTATTAGTTAATTAGTTAATTGTAACACCCATGCCAGAAGTGGGAAAGAAAGGACAAGTAAAAAAGGGGGTGGGATGGAAAGAAATAACTGATAGAAAGATAAAGATGAAGGAGGAGGGGAGAGAGAGAGAGAGAGAGAGATGGACAGAGACCGAAAAATATCGTTGTTTATGTGGACCATTCATCCATCTCATGGATGGATGAATGTATGGATGGAAGGGTTAAACGAAGGCTACTGCTTACGTCGCCATAATTTTTACTATTGCCACCACAATCCTATGAATTTCTCAATCAAATTTTAGTTGGAATTTTCTTTTTGTTACTTTTATCACAAATTTTCATCATGTTTATATATATTGGAAATATTAGCATTTTTTTTGGAATATAAATATTAAAGAAATATGTTGAATAGGGTGATGGGTAATGGTGGCATTAGCAATATTTTAGATGAGGTTTGTAGGCACTACATTCTTTCTACATAAAAAATTTTCATGTTTTATGTTGACTTTTTTTTTTTTTTTTTTTTTTTTTTTTTTTTCCCCTCTCACCTACATCATCATGAAGAGTCTCTTTCTTAATTTTATCTCAAAAACGCAAAGTTTTAATTTTAGAAGTAACAAAAAATAACAATGTTTAATATTACCATTACTTTTTTCTTAATAGGTGTCTTAAAATATTTTTGATATTCTAATGGGGATTTTTTTTTTTTTTTTTTTTTTTTTTTTTTTTTTAAATTGTGTGAGTGAGGAATATCTTTGATGTAGGTATTGTTCTTTCAAGACTAAAAAGATAAAAACATCCACCAATGTTTTAAAGGATATTGTGTAAAAAATTAATTTTCTTTGAGTAATGTTGGGATTCAGCCATAATAAGAATCAGACTTTATTTGAGGGTGGATGCTTTCACAATTGATATTTTTACATCCTTTGATTTAATATCAAATGTAACAATCTATTGGTTAATATTTGCTGAAAACAAGTGAGGCTGTGCATGGTTTTCAAAAAAACATCAAGGTTCTTTTACAATTAATTTGAAGATAACTATCTATGAAACATTTAATGTAAAAAATAGAGTGGTGTATTTTGTTGTATGTATTCCATATTTTCCCCATTAAACCTAAATGAAAAATGGTATTTAAATAAGAAGAACTTGTAATGTTTGCAATGATATATGAATTAAATGTGCATATTCCTAATTACATTGTGCAAAACTAACCACTTCCTTCATTCCTATAAATTATTTTATAAACATCTATAGCTTTGACACATGTTGTGAGGTATCTTACAAACTTGCACACTAAGAAATGGCATCCATATTGTAAATTTAAATTGATGTTTTTCTCTGTAACTATTTTAAAAGTGGGTCAATAATTATTATTCTAAAAAAAAAAAAACTTTTAAAATTCGAATTCTTCAACTTAGAATATTTTATGATTACTAAATCATTTTATTAAAATTATGTTTTGTGTGGTTTTTTCCATTTGTTCACAATTCTTGCACAAGATTGTTGACTAATTTTAGAATTCTGCACATCATGATCAAAATGAGAATATGTACATTCAACCTGGTTTTAGGATTTAGGGGTTTATCAATATGTAAACCCTAAACAAAAGTAAAATAAAATACATAGATATTGTCATTAGGGACAAGTATATATATATATATATATATTCATACATATATTATGCAATAATTTTATCGTATATTTTAAATGGGTCCTGTATTCTTTTCAATCTAAAGAATGACAACCCATGTAAATTTATTTCTATATGTTTTGGCCCCTCCCCCTTTTTTTGTGAATATTGAATGAAGGAAATTCATAATCTTCTTAGTAATACTCTGTCTGGGGATTTTATTATTGAATAAAAATATTATAAAAGTATTATAAAGATATTAACTACCTCTTTTGTGGATTAGCCATCAGATTTTATGTCTTAAATAAAAAGGTTATGAAAATATGAGAAATAATTAAAAATAAGCTCCACATTAAAAGCTAAGCATCCTCATACAAAGACGTTTTCCCTTTTCCTGTATGAAACCATCAGAATAGAACAAGAGTTGGGCAACGGATTACGTCTTCGCGTACATTCATACAAACATACGAAATACAATAAAAAAACGTATTCCTGCACAAAACATATCACCATGAGAACAACGTTCTCTTACTCCTCGATATTTTCAAATATTATTTTGAAACTAATATATTGAAAATAATATTTGAAAATAATATTATTTTGAAATAATATTATTTTGAAACTAATATATTATTTTGAAATCTCTGCGCCCAGCGTTCCCCTCCAAAACGAATGATACTTTCATCACGACAATAACTCATTCATCCACATCCAATATTTGGATGAGGTTGCGGAGAAGCCTTGGAACTTGTCATCGCCGAGGACATGGGCTCTGAGCTCGAGGAATCGAGTTCCCCTCCGCTCGATCGATCGAATTTCTTCGGCCGTCGCTAATTTTTTGACTTCGTTAGAGTTTACACAAAAGCAGCAGATTATCCAATTTTTTTTTTTGACGCGGTTCCTGGACTAATTTTCGGAGATTTTGGTGCAGTTTTGCTCAGTATTGAAGGTTTTTTTTTGTGGCGCGGAGCTGTGGAGGGATTTGAGCAAGTGGTTGAGTGAGCCAGATAAAATCTGTTGGAATTGGAGAGGGAGATGAGAGCGCCTCATCAAGCATGCCACTGCCGCAGTCTTCACCTGTGTGTGTCGCCAAGCCGTCTCATTACGCGTCGCCGGTCAAGTTTGAGACAAAGTACGAGCCGGCGTCGACTCCTACGAGCAGCGGTAAGCCGGATAAGGACCGGCGGCACAAGAAGAAACAGCATCACTCTTCAGGGAAAAAGCGGTCTGGAACACCGTTATCGTTGAAAGAGCAGATCGTCCAGCTCATTGCCATCTTGCTTACTGCCGCGGTCGTCTACAACGTGACTCTTACAGCTATTGGTTGGTTTGAGGAAGCGCGCCGGCCGTTCTGTGATGATCAGCAAGATCCCCTGCGAGGTGCAAACCATTTTTTTCATGACTTGGTGCCTTGAACTTCTGCAGTGAATTTGAGGAATACACTCGTGTAATTGAGTTTCAGGGGTTGGCCTTCGCTATTGAATTTCTTGCATTGAACTGTGAAGCTTTAGGGTTTACGCAAAGTGGCTTAGTTTTGATTTTTCCATAGTTTATATATATATATATATAATGTAACTTGCCGTCATGCCGTTGTCAGGTGTCTAGACCTACTGCTTTGAGGTGTATTGAAGCACTTTCGATGGTGAAATTTCAGGCAATATTATTGAACCATCGTTTATTAGTCCAACTGAAACCGTGCAAAAGTATGCGCTCTAAGTTTGCGTAGGTAGGCCTTGAGTCGAAGTTTGAACAGTGGTTGGAAACAACGTATTTTCTGGCACACGAGCTGTAAACAGGCTTGCCTGGTATGAACCCAAGATCTCGCGTAGTAAATGTGATGACATGGATGTGCATTCGACATCTGGTTTTCATTGTTTCACTGACAGATGAATTCCAAGTTCTTTTACTGCATAGTATGCTAGTCGATAATGCTAATTCTAAATTGCACTAATGCTGCTTCGACACCTAGTACCATAAAACTAAAATTTTATTCAGAAAAATCTCCGTTACACCCTGAATTTGCTACCACATGTTGCATTATTAGTCGCGATTTGGACATTTGTATTTTCAAACTAAGGTGAACTTAGCAGGCATTTGTGAATGAAACGAGCCCTCTTTACTGCTGGGTGTTTTGGTAATTGGAGAAGGACTACATGGGTATGAACGCGTTATCATGCAATGTTTTTGTGAAGTTTTCTGATATTTTTAGGCTTTATGTGCAGATAATTGCAGACCTTGCCCTGAAAATGGGATCTGTCGGGGCGGAGAATTGCGCTGTATTCCAGGTTTTCGACGTCAAGGCGCTCTATGTGTTCCTGACAAACAGATTGATCGAAATGCTCAAAACCTGGTATTCGCATCCGTCTATTTTTTTAGGTTTACTGTAAATTTGGAGTTAAATTTTGAAGTTGGTATATGCATCGTGTACATATAGAGAAACTCGCTCTGCATATTTCTAGGTTTAGAGGATTCAAGTGACCGAGCACCAATGTTGATGTCTCTACGCGGATGATATGCAGGCAGATTTTGTACTCAACAAAGTTTGTAAGATCTCTGGCGATTCGCTTTGCAGAAATGAGGACATCTCATGGGTATTACCAAGTCCTTGAAATGATTGACTGCTGTTTGATCTGCTGTTGAGAAGAGCACATTGTTTTGGAGGAGCACTTTTCTGTTGATGATAACCATGTCCTTTGTGTAGTTGGATTGGGATCTTTTCCTCCTTCGTTGCCTTCTTTGGCAGAGCTTTGCTTCCTTGATTAGCTGCTTATCCTTCCAAGGTGAGCCTGGATCACGTTAGGCTGGGCTGATGCTTTTCTAATTGACAGATACCAGAACACCAGATCTGGGATGCTTCCGAGGAAGAGAAAATGGGACTAGATGCTGAGAACGTGTTGCTTGTGCACGAGAAGGCATTGCAGCTAGTGCGTGACAAACTCAACATCCGCATAGATGATTTTGGGTTTGAACTACCGCCCTTACGGCTTCAATAGCAACAGTAGCTCTGAAGTCTTTTTTCAGGAACTTATTTGTATTAGGGCTCCCATCATTGTTCATATTGTTTTCAATCTTTTTTCAGTAGTTTCCGATCATTTTTTTGCCGCATTTAGGGATTTGCGGAGTGTCAAGATTGTGCAGAAACATCTAACTCAAGGTCTTTGTCAGGACTCTTGTTCTTTCGTTGCAATTCTAAAACGTTCGAAGCTTAACAGAGTTTTTGATGGTTGATAACAGGTTGAGAGAATTTCGATGTCCGATTGCGCTGGCTTTGACGTATCAACCTATTGGATGTAGAATCCGAAAGCTTATCAAAGCCAACATATATGGCATCTTTATAGCTAGTTTCATCGTATGTGTCAAACACATTTGAATTTCATAGGCTGATGCTTAATTGGGTTGTGAGAAGTATCATTTAGTTGCTTAGAAGTAGAATATTTTGATTTTTTTATGGTTCACCCTTTGGTTGGAGTACTGGGCGATTGTTCAATTACTTCCTGTAAGTTTGTGGAGATATCTAATGCTCCGGATCATTTCAGGTAATTTTTGTTTCAGTTTACATCCTCAGATACCTGCAGTCTAGAAGACTCGTGACTCGAGCAGAAGAATTATATATGCAGGTGAAGTTCCCTTCATGCTCATCATTTTTCGTGTTTGTCGCTGGAGTCGCTGACGTCTAGCTTAAGCATATCACACGGTGGACCTTTTGTTTTTGAAAGTGACGCATACCGATAGTTAGTCTGAGGTTTGCATGTGATAATGATGGGATTAGGCTGTTAATAGAGAATTTAATAATGAACATTCCATCATAGTTCAGTCCCCGTAAGTAAATTCCCTGAACCTTTTCCTTTGGTTACTTGTGAATGAACCTGTTGAGTAGATGCACTAGTTAGTCTGAGGTTCTTGTATTTTCGGGAAAAACATGACTGATCTTCTGTTACTGAAAAATACTTTACGTTGTGTCGATGCAGGTCTGTGAGGTGCTAGAAGAAAGGTCTACGGGTTCTTCTGGAGAAACGAAATGGGTTGTGGCTTCTCGGTTAAGAGATCACCTACTACTGCCAAGCGAGAGGAAAGTGGCAACACTTTGGAAGGAGGTAGGTGTTTTTATGTTGATGGTGTAATTTTTCGCTCATATCTGCTGCGCAAAATTGAAAAAGGCAATTCATCATGCATACTTGTCTTTCTTTACTTCACGTGTTCAGGTAGAGCGGCTGGTGCAAGAAGACTCCCGAATTGATCAGTACCCGAAGCTTGTGAACGGGGATTCCCGAGTAGTGTGGGAGTGGCAAGGTAATATATCTGTAAGCGGTAAATGCTACACTTGAAATTTATTGCAAAGAGGAATTGATATGGCACTTTCTTTTGAGTGTTTGATGCGGCCCTCAAATTACTATTTCTATGGGCGAATGTATTTCTCTTTTACTAATTTCCCTTCTTTATCATGGCTCGTTTTTTAATCCAATTCAACAGGAGAAGGGACTTTGCGAACTCCAAACAAAGACAGTAAGCGATAGACAAGGTTTTGTTCTCTCATCATGCAGCCGCTACGGTTTCGAGAATTCGTATATGCGTTGCTTACGGGTTGAGGGGTTCGTAGAAATTCAGTATATTTATCAGATGATCCTTGTGTTAATCATGCATTACATTCTCGTGTCCCTTTAAATTGCCCTGTACTGTATATCATAGGTCATCCTGTAGAAAGTAGTCATATTTTTTCTTCCCTTTAAATGCATACAGCAATGTATCTTAACTCTATTTTCATACCGATACAAGGTCAGAGCAAGTAACATTTTGAGAGTTTGAAAAATTTGTCGAATTTTAAATTGCGGAAATTCCTTGGTGTTTACTGCCGCATGTTTCCATGTGAATCTGATGGATTCGAACCTCATGTCCGAGACACTAGGTTGTATTTTTCCAGTGACTTTTAATAATAATTTATTGTTGAGTTAAATAATTTATATATATGTGTTTATTATCATTTAGTTGTAACAACAAATGTCGTTGATGTTACAGAAGCATCAAAAGTAAAAATATATAATTTTTGTATACTTAATTTGAGTATCATCTCTATATACATATGTACATTTTGATATATATATATACATACGTTTTTTAAGGAATGGAATTTAGGTTATCACAAAATGTATATATGTATATATTTTTTAATTAGTTGTTCTTCTACTAAATATGTTTATAAATACAATCACAATTATTTTAATGGCAAGGTTCTAATTGTTTTTTAAAGGTCATAAATATTTTGCTTTACAAGCTTTGTTAACCATTTTTATACAACCACATGTTAATACTAATTTTTTCTTAATACATTTAATATAAAAAAGTAATAAACTTTGTATGAACTATATAACATCAATTCTTCTTTTGACGGTTAGTATTAAGAATGAACAAAAATTATTAATGTTAATTTGGATTTCTAAGCAATTACTTTGATTTCTATAGAAGACATGATACACGTGTCATTTCCATTTTAACGATTGATATCGTTACTGAATCAGATATGATAAAATAATGCAATTAAAAAAATCATTATTATTAAATTAGTAAATCGAAGTATACAAATAATTACTCTAACAATTATGTATATAAAGTTATTAGTTAAACCATAATTTTTTTAATACCAAGTAAAAAATAATCATTACTAATAATACCAATCATCATAATAGTCTTAAAAGTTTATAACACTTTTTTCTTTTTATACATGAGATTTGCAAGCCAATTTTATGCATTAAGCACAAAAAATTGATTTACATTTGCTGTTAGTATATGCCAGAATGATAGTTTCAACATGATGTCTTTGGTTTTGAATTTGTTATCTAAAACATCTACGAATTTTTCCTAACATACAAGCAAAATTAAATGTATTTATATTTTTTGAAATTAACATCATAAGTTTTAAAATTTATTAATCATGTCATGTTTTTATGAGAAAAAAATAAGTATATATATATATATATATATATATATATAATCACTAATTTATAAAAAAACAATATTGAAAGAATTGAAATTTTTTTTCTTGGAATCCTAATTTAATCATAATACACATTTCTTTATTTAGTCTGCAAAGTAATTTCTTCATGACATGTAGTACTAGCTTAATTTGATAATAGTATGTGTATGTATGTTTGTATGTGTAAATATATATATACACACATACAATGACAATGTAGTATTTTATAATACATACATACATACATACATACACATATGCAGTTTTGTTGTCAATTTCTTGGCATAAAATTTAATCATTAAATGAGCTTTTAGTATTTAGTTAGAAGATTAAGATTGATACAATTCTAAAAATCACCTTAGTTGTTAAACACAAGATAACATGGTAACTAAGTTTTACTAGCTCTATATTATTTTAATTCATTTTTAGTATCGATTCAAAACCAGATTAATACAATTAAATTTTGCATTGATTTGACAGTATGATATTATCAAGAACCCACTTCTCAATTCTAATGAAATAAATCTTTCCACAATCACATACATTCTGACATTCTTCATTCCTCATAAATTTTTGGCTTTACATGGACAAAATTTTGAATCTTTTCTTAAAATTTAGTGCCGAATTTATTACTAGATCCACCATCTTGTCCAATTCCTATTGTATTCGCACTTTTAAAAATTACAACTGTTTTTCTTTCATCAGCTTTTCAAGGTGATGAAAAAAAACAACTATTCAACATGCATTGCATAACCTGGATTTTGAGGGTCTGCTTTCAGCTAAAACAATCTTCACATAATCTAGCTCACCAATCCAATCTCTTAGAAATCTCTAGGATTGAATCCATCGACATAACAACGGGCAGCACTCTACTTGAACAATTAGTTAATTAATTTACAAGCTTACTACTTTATTGCACTACAAATTGATTCACAACATTAAGCAAAACATGGGAACCCAACTGTGGTGGTGAAAGTTAGATGATTTCGTCACGTTTCAGATAACTGTTCAAGAAAAACCAAGGAAAGTTATGCGTAATATTGATTATGCCAAAGATAGAAAATATATTTAACGGCACAAAAAAGAAAAAAAGAAACAAAAACCATTCTTCTCGGTTTCTTAAATATGAAGAATGTTCACCATGTTAAGAACTTTTCTTAGGGAACAATGTCGTTCAAATAGCATCACAATTTCTATAATGAAGGAACTAGGCATAATGATTTTAGATAGTGTAATGCATTCAGCATTTCTAAGATTCAGGTAGTGGCTGTGGTTGTTCACCTCCAGTAGGTACGTGTACCTGTCAATGAACCTATTTTTATTGTGCACAGCCTTCTACAGCCCAATGGTTCTGAGTGATAATCAAAACCGACGAATAAATCTTGATCTCTGACTAATGCCATGACCCAATTCAGTTGTAATTTCCTGGCAAACTAGAACCTCAGCATGCGGGTTGTGATGTTAACAGCTTTCCGACGCCACCAAAGGAAAACTGCTGTTCCTAGCCAAGGGCAAGTTGTCACCAACGCTATATAGGTAAGGAGACAAAGCGTTCTTCTGTGTTGAGCTGCTAACCACGTATAACCTGGAAAATTTGACGCTCTCAGCTCCGACTTCTGCTCGCCATTGCCTACAGGAGTACTCTTCTCTGCAATTACACGATTTGAAGGGGAACTCAAAGTACCACTGCCGAATTTGGAATCCTTCATATTAAACCTGTGGTAACATTTGTCTGGTAACGCCCGTTTCGTTACAATTTCTCTGCGATTTATCAATGGAGACCTTAAAGCTGGACTTTTAGGAATTTCGGTAGCCTGAATTGCACAATCCCGCAAAGCTCGAAGAGTAGAATGTTTGGAGTTGACCTCAGCATCATGTTGGTCTGCTCTACAGCCGCGACTCTCACACTGGGACTGCTGCGCAACTGGAGGTAAAGCTTGCAACTACAACATTCAAAGCAGTATCAGTTTCTGGAAAAAAAAAAAACAAACCCAGGAAATGCAATTAGATTTAGTTACCTGAAGCGGTTCTCTACACTATTCTCTTGAACAGGTAGAAAACGCTCAGTCAGATTTGTAAAATTGAAGCTATTATTATGAGTGCTAACAGAGCACATGAAAATTTAGTAAAAACTGACCTGTTTTTGTAGTTGTAACAAGGCTGAATGTAACGACGAGATTTCAGTATTGTCTTTAAAGGAAAGGGTGACTGATGTCTGCTGCAAAGATCCGTCTTCGTCTCCGAAATCCCTAGAAATGTAAACATCGTCTGGCAATTTATTGTCCGCACTACCTTTCCTCTCCACTATGATATCACTCTCGTTGAAGTTGCCCTCCTGGCCTGTGTTCCAAAATTATGTTAAATTAGAGCTAGAATTTGTCATAATTTATCGCAATCAAAAAGAAATTCAAACTTGTCTTTAATCCTGAGTTTGCTGGTAAGACTGGTTCTTGTCCGCATTAATGATTCAAGGTAACGATAATGTGAGATACTACGCCATTAACTCTTGGCATGATATACCTAGATTCGCTAAGTTTGGTGGTTTCAGGTCTTCGGCTGCCACAAGGCCGCTACTTGAAACATTTACGTACGGGCCATTGCAAACATTTAAGTCAAACTTTTTTTCATCCTCGGAAACCTACAAACCAGCATATTCCGTTAAAATCATACAAATCACCACCGTATTTTAGCTTCAATTCCTTTACAAAACTTGAAACGGAATCAGGAAAACCTGCGATGTACCAACAAAGACTATTATGATTGTTCAAGTCACGTAAGTATCTAAGGAAAGTTACATTTTCATCTAATCCAGCTCAGAACAGTTCAGGTCTACCTTCTGTGGTGTGTGCATTAGATTACTCGGTATCATGATGGTCATGAATTCTATCAAGGCACGAGTCCACCTGCACAGGATTAAAAACAAAAACAAAGACAAAGACACAAAAAAATAAAGATAAAAAAAATAAAAAAATAAAAAACTTTGAGCAGCCAATTCCGAAGAAGAGCACGTCTATTGGTGAAAGATATGCAACTCCAAAGCCTTTAACAGACTCAGAATGATGATAGTAAAACATATGACAGCCACCCAATTTGTGAAGGATCACAGAGGTATTTTTGAAATTAAAAGGCCGTTAACAGAGAAAGGAGGATACCAAATTGTCCGGCCTGTGAAACCTTCGAAGTATGCAAGATGACCTCCATGTTTGGTAACTACCATAGCGACATTTGGATTTTCACTGCGCATCAAGGGAAATGCAACTTCGTTCACAGAGAACTACGGATTCGGGCTAAAATACGTGAATCTTTTAACGATGGAATCCGGTAGGTATTGCACTTACAGAATCTCATCCCAAGGTATAGCTTCGGAACTACAGACTGGGTCGTCCAAGGCGCTGAAGCAGAGCAAAGGTACTCTAACCTTCATCAAGAAGTCAGCACTACTGCAACGCCTATAGTATGTGTCTACAGTCTGTAACATAATTCCCAGTAACATAAGTGAGGGAGGGCAAAAGACAACCAGGGGAACGCAACCAACAAACGGAAGGACTAAAAAGGATTCAATCAAAGGACGAATTACAACACTTGATATTGCATTCTAGAAAACGACATCTAATCCTAAAATCACAACCTTCACTTTATACCTCATCTTGTTATACTACAAATAGTTCAAAAGTTCCAATTTCACGATGGTATCCGCATGCTATTTAATACATGAAGTATCTACCGAATAGTTTTGATAAAGAAGATACCAACTTACAAGATCATTCAATCACAATGACTAGTAAGAGGTTGGCATGTTCTAATGAGCACCCAGGAAGGAATGAAGAATTGGCAACCCAAAAAGTTCAGCAGTATTTTATACCATTCTGCATGTTTTCGAAAATATGAAGCTCCTAGTACCCAAAATAGTAATACTGGGTCGCTTTGTAATATGACTATGTTGATCAGCCCATAAAGATCCTATTACAGTTGATGGTCAATGGAAGGCTACCAGAACAGGATGACAGAGAAAACCTTAAACTGTGGTCAACTAATTAATTGCTTTCTAATTGGGTCGAAGATGAGACCATACCTCATACTTGCCGATATGCCGCGTACAATGATGATCAAAATCCCGAACCGTCTTGCTCTGAATTACGACGATGTGAATAACTAAATGATAAAACATAGTGATTTACTTAGAAAGTCTAGAACTTGTATACACTGGCTAAATCCATAGTCATGAAACATTCAAGATAGATGAAAAAGAGAAGGATGGCACCAGAGATATCAACACCACTATATAAATTTAAGATAGTGCATAGTATTCAGGTTGTGAACTCAAATGCTGAATTGAACTACAAATTCCGAAATCATTCTTATTCTGTACCTTGTTAATGTAGCTCCAGTCTGCAATACGGGCCAGAACGCTTTGGTGTCTTTTGTTCAAAGACGTCAAAAAACACAAGAAAGAAAACAAATACGGTTAGGATGAAGTTGAGCAAATCGGCACTTGGAGTGCAAATATTTGCAAAAATGCGTGACTACGATAAGCTAAGCTGTATGCCATCATTCAACTTTATGAAACTTGAGAACATTTCATACATTGCATTTCATCTGCTAACGCTCACAATTGCCTTCTAGTTTTTCAAAAAGCACACTCAATAATCTAGAAAACAACCATAGTTTCTTCACAGCTTTGGGTGACATACATGATTAAATGGCAAATAACGGTAAATACAAAATTAACATATCCAGAAGTTAGCTAGATCGGCACGAAAACTTTACGCAGATCAATGCGGCCCAAGATCAGACGTTAAGATACTTACATCTTGGCATATTCTACTAAACCAATAGCCAGGACTCTGTTGTATAGTCTTTGCATTCTGTTTCTACTTATAAACCTGTCCGCCACCTGCAAAACGGAGAGAGTTTATTTTGAAGCTGTTTAACAAGACATGCATGTATCCCTTCAACATGTAGCATATGATTCCTTAGCAGGTCGATTGGGTCAAACCTACCAGAAGATCCCATGGACTGCATACAGCTGCTGCAGCACCAACAGGTGTAGAATCACCTTCTTCTCCCAAGTACTTCACCTACGAACAACATATTTGTTCAAGATTAAAAACTCAGAAAATACCAGAAGGACTAAACTATCTATTGGTTCTTCATCCTATTGCACCACAAGCATTTGCACCAGATTATCAAGCCAAATTATGTTGTTCGAATCAAGAAACTGCTAGAAAATCGGAGAAGGTGAACCTATATTCTTTTGGTCGAAAGACGATCACATGAACTGTACGTGCTCATCAGCTAATTATCAAGGTTGTTAATAGATGTGTCATTGCAAAACAACCTCAATACAGAAAAAGAATGGAAAGGCAGATAAAGTTACCAGTATGTTAGCACCGATGCTTGTACCAATAGTAAATATAGGTGCTTTTGGATACTTTCCATGAACATAATTTACTATTCTCCGCAGATCCTCAGTCCATCCGGCATTGTAGAATATATCTGACTGAACAACACATAGCAAGACCGATAAATAAGTCACGGACTAAAAATATCTCTGAGCTCTATTAATACATTAAGAACCTGTAAAATTATCCGTTTTCACTTAGCTTGCCTATCAACAGATGAGGTCCTAGCACCCGAGGATTTTGTACCAATTTAATATGCACAAACATGTAAAAAAAAAATAGATAGCTCGACAATTGCTCAATAAGAGTACATCTGATTTATGAAAATGATTATTGTGTTCAATCCCAGTAAACCGCAGGAGTAAAGTGATTGACATAACAGCAAACCCAATATGAGGAAGGGCACCAAGTGCAACAGCAAGAGTGCTTTGGATCTCATTACATCAGCACACGCAATTCGTCGACATACCTTGATAAAGAGTAGAGCGCTAAAACATAGGAATTTTCGGTAAAATCTTATGAGATAAAGGAAAACTTACAGTCATAGATAAGCCCCCAAGACCACGGTGATTTGTGACCAACGTCCTCCATCCCATCATAGCTGAATTATATGCTATATGCTTTATATACTGCAAAACCCCATTCCTCTCCCTTAGAGATTTTGGCTACTGCGAAGTGGTACTACGTTGTTGACGTCCACGAAGGCGAGTCTCTCAATGCTTGAGATAAGCTGTAGGGTGCCTAGAAAGATCGACCATGAAAGGTTGTACACTTCGCATTTAATCTGCATGTATTGAGTGAGACCAGAGAAAAGTGTGATCCTATCGCTTATTTATCGCAGTGCATGCAGACTATTGACTCACCGGCGATTCAGAGTCACTTGTCAAGCCAGGGATAATTATTACAATTGGAGATTCATCAATCTCCACATTCTCCTGATTGATGTCGACGTAACCCTTATCGTCATCTGCGATCAAACAAATTTCCAAAATTAATATAATAGCGAAATACATGGAGCAAGCTTGCACTCTTGTACAGGCTTCGATCAGGTAATAGAAAAGTGTATGGATTAGGCAGCAATACTTACTGAGGGGATGTTTAACCCAGTCCAGAGCAATCGTCCCTTTATCAGGGGTCACATAGATCTGTCTGCCACGTCAAAGACAAGCGATGAAACTTCAAACAAATGCAAAGAGACGTTAACTCTGAACTAGAAAACGACTATGCCGAGCGCTAATATGTGAACTGTTTGATAATTATGAATAAAACTACATCCGATATCGATGTGTGCTCGATATGCGGCAAATCAGAACGCTTAAGACAGGCAGTTTTAGTTGGATTCACTTTAATTAGACATAAAATAAAATTTGCAGAACGACATGATCTATGTACTCACCGGTGGTACTTGACAGGAGGCGGATTGCCGTTGAAATGAAGAAACATGGTTTGAAGATGTGGGCTGCTTAGCCATGGGGTGGCAAAATACCTATGCATTTTTTCAGAAAAATCGGTACAAGCAAGTGTTTAAAAGGCTAGAACTGCGAAGAAATGAAATGTTGCACAGCTAACTCAATTCATGGCTTGATCACTAGAATAGCCGCTAGAAGTACAAACCAGAAACCGCCAAATGATACAAACATCGATTGAGATTCCGCAACATTGACGCGTCGTGCTGGATAAACCAGTGTGCTTACAGCAACTACAAAAAGAACTAAAACTACACTGTACCTCTGCTTCAATATTTTGCACGTCGCCAAAACTTCTGACGTTAGATAAGATGCTGAGCTGAAATGAAGCCGAGGAACTTCGCCTCTGAAGCCATGTAAAAGATCATCCACGAAATGGAAATCTAGAATATAATACAGCCAAATTGAGGCCAAAAGCAACGCAAGAATCAGGTATTCCCAGAGTGGCACTAACAAAGCAGTTTCCACCAACGTAACAAAACCTAAATTCGGCCATTCTACTATATTCCACTCCCAGGTATACATCATGCTGAGCTTCCACTTATTAACATCAGTCGCTACTGACTAGCTGCACAATCACGTATACATTTATCGTGGTCAGTTTCTTACAAATGCTCAATTATGTAGAAAATGAATAGATCATCAGTCCTTGCAATATCAAATTGAGTCGTGAAAAATGTACCGTGTTTCCAGTTTTCAGCTAGATTGAACATTCATAACTATCAAGCCAATAAGAATTGTACCAGAATGCAATCCTCTAACCAAATGATCAAGGTAATACCACGTCCAGAATTGCGGAAAAGCATGGACCAATTCGCAACAGACATGAAAGAGAGCTAACTCGATGCATAATTTCAATAATCACAGCATCCCACAGAACGAATGTAAATTTTCACGAACTGATGCCGCGAATTTATATGCGCGGCTCGTCCCGATCACGCAATACGCATACCACAAAAAAAGAATGACTTCTTCGCTGAAGCCAATCACGAGATCGATACAATTACAATCCCGTCAATGCTTCGAATTCTACACTTATTACACAACCACGAAGACTACCAGTAGTGAATGCCTTCCCAGGTTGCTTCAAAAAGCAGAAAACAAATTCTGCACCCCTAGATAAAACAACACAAAACATAATCGCGAGATCTGTTCCAGCTAAACAGAACTAGCAACGGTTCCATTTCACGCACCAGAATTCTACATATTGAAATTGACATAATCGCGTTGCAAACGTCGTCCGTTTTTGCACAAACCTTAACAAGTTACGTCATTAGAGTGCACAACAAGCGCCAAAACGTTACCGAAACTCGACGGCAACGTTCAAAACCCTCACTAGTCCCATGGACGCAATTCCCACGCACTAATTGCTTCAGAGCCGTCCCCGTCCGTCTGCGGTAGACCATAGATCAGGGAGGACCGAGGCACAATCTGCCGGGCGAAGCAATGCCGCGTTTCCTACCAGCGAAACCCGATCCGATCCGGCCAGCTGGGCGCTCATCCTCCTTCGATTCCAACAATGTTAAGACAGCGAACACATCGACGCTGTAAAAGTGACTCACTGTTTTTTTTTCCTTTACCTTGAGTCCACAGAGGCGGCAGCTTCCACCGAACAAATGGATTGAGTATGTCGGTTACATGGCGAAAAGTGTCGTCAATCGCTCATAAGCGCCGCAGAGGTAGCATCGCAGAATCGGGAGCAACGAAAAGGTGTAGGGTTGCCCCAGTGGCGGGAAAAATTGCATCCGGTTAGTAAAAAAAAAATACCATTTCTGCAGTCAACTTGGCAACATCGCGTTGCGATATTTCCTGAGGAACAGGGACAGCTTTCAATCTGGCACGGGGGACATCCTGTTAGTTGGTCGCTCAATGTGGAGGATGCAGATGTCATAATCGGTACCTGTTCTTCTGCGGAATCGCGCAGGTCCGAGAAGCAAGCCACCGCCGAAGAATCAGCCTTTGACATGGATGACCTTGGAACCTTTCTCCTCCGTGAAGATTATTCAACGACACACCGCCCTGACAACGTCGCTTGCACCATCCGTGCTTCGATAGATGATCCCCAACCAACCGCGATAACGGAGAGCGTGCTGTGTAGAATGAGTATGTGTTGTAAAGGTTCTTATGCAAAGACATGTTTGGAGATGAGTATGGAATTAAGTTGGTGAATATGCGTTTTGCTTCACATACACGAGTAACAAATCCAATCAACCGTAGCCAGAACAGAGATTTTGTAAGCATGAAAGGTACAAGACGCTTGGGTTCTCTTTAGCGAAAAAAAGGGTGATTGAACTAGAGACTCTCTTTGGTTACACCCAGCTTCGAAAAACGTGTTTTAGAAGCTGTTCGAACCTTGGGAAAGTCACCGGTTTCATCCTTGCAGCAAGATACAACCATAGACTCCATGTGGAGAGCGGGAAAAAGATCTTCGTCTAAATCAGCAACATCTAACTGCAGCAAACATTTCATAACTAAAAATATATACTTGCTAGGTCCTCAGGTGGTGCTCACACTCTTCAATAAATTGTAATGTACACTAAGATAAACTTGACTATACTTCCAGACCTGTCTCTAGTTTTTTTCTCTTACGGATTTCGACCTAGCGATCATTTCCTCGTCAGATAGTCATGGGCTGCTCTTGAGTCATTATGGCAGAGCATTAGTGCCATGGTTGCGTCCTTTTGACTGTGACCCTGAGCCATCAACTCGAAAATTCTTTCTGCGCGAACTGGCATATCGTTCTGCATTCCAACCAGGCCGAAGGTAACCATATAGCTCATTCATCTGCACATGTAGTTCACACATTACAATTCGTAACACATTTGCAACTAACCTATCTATCTTAAATTCTTCCAAATGTGTACCTAACCGATTCTATTCTAGATGTACATTGCCCAACACACATTGGACTAAAACGACCTTTCAAAAGATGAGCAGGGAACTCCAAAAACTCCACCGTACTTGGAACAACAAGAAATCAAACCAGAAGAAGGCATAAACATTGCCACTAACTAGTCGCAAATTGTACAGTGCACACTCATCGACAAAATAGCCAACTAGGAGGCAGTAAGGAGCGAGACCAGATGCAGGTGACCGTTTGCAGTAGATCTTGAAGATTAGAATTGCAGAATTTGTTCTGCAAATTTTCAAAGACAGGTAGTTGCGCCGACTAATCAAGATATGACTGTACCATTCGCACCATTTCAAAATGGCATAACTTGACACGCATGCGTAAAGAATCATGCAATTCATTTGATAAATGATAGCACATGATCGACTCAGTGAAGACAAACGCTAGTAAAAGTAGCTAAAGCAACTCACCTCTTGAGGCCTGTTAGTGGGTTCATTAACAGGCTCCGATGCTCTGTTGTTGTTCATTCTTGAAGCCATCTCTGAAGAAATTCCTGAAAAGAAAGGTGACACTCTCCATGCCATTCGCCTGAAGGCGCCTGACGAAAACTGCACACGCCTATGTCATGTGAATTTCTGGGCACAATAATAGACACACAAATGAGCAGAATGCGAACTAACAAAAGCCTAGTATCACAAAATATCCACTCTTTCTTGAGCAGCAGACATCGATAAAATTTCAGTGAATAGTTTCCAGAGACTTTACTCCGACCCATAAGAAGGAAAAGAATTCATACCCCTATTTCCTGTATTCCGCCCAGATCACATCTATAGATAAACCCAGCAATTATTCCGCAAATTCCAGGTATCATGGAGTGCATCCTTGACCACAGTAAAAGCTGCAAGTACAAGGACACTTGTTAACTGAAATAATTTAACCAATATCAACGGATAAATCAAAAAGCATCTCAAAAAATGATAACAAGCATTGATAAACCAAATATATCCACGAACTAGGTGCTAAAAATTTTCAAAAAGAAAACACTCAAGTTGCGTTTGCTGAAATGCCCTGCAGCCATGAGAAAAAAAAAAAAAAAAAAAAAAAAAAAAAAAAAATCAACTCTTAAGTTGCCTAAATAATCATATAACCTCACAATCTTTACAACACTCTAGGAGGTAAACTCTTCTGCTGTATGAACATTATAATTTAGAATCCAACGATTGGTACGACCATTTCGCTTTTATGCTTCTGCTTTTGAGTCCAACGATTGAGACGGAGGCAAAAGGTAAACTACTAACCTGAAGACCGATCAAATAAACGAAGGACTTCTCAGATACTTTGATCCCAAGGAGCTTAAAACGTATTGAAACAGGAACGTCAAAGAAAAATAACACAAAAGACGAAAATATCAAGCCTGTAGGACCAGAATTTAATCTGATGCTTGAGATGAATGATGAATCTGCTTCCACCCACAAACAAATGGTGTCAAATAAAGATTCTTATCCATCTACGTACAAAGGAAGGAATTCCAAAACTCAGTGACACAATGCAGTATGGGCAATGCATTACGCTGCTAGTGAAGAAAACTACTAACAATGACCTGATAGCTTACCGTCACTAAACCAACTCAGTGAGGCTGGAAATAATCTCCAGTCGCCGCCTTTCCCAGAAACCCGGGGACCATCCTCAACACGAGGAGGACCGTAGCCAAAATAACCGTCTCGAAACATGCCTGGTGCCCAAGAACCATTGGCGTAACTTTAATCTACATAACTTTCGCTGAATAAATGGTGTTCTACCAAGAATGATACATGAATAAAACAGAATAGAAATAGATCGCCGGACACAATACCTTTTAAGGTAAATAAAAAAACGAGCTCCAAGAATGTCGATACACTTGTTGTAAAAAACACGAAGAACTGCCAAAAGAAGGTTTATAAAGGATGAGTGCGTCTCAAAGACCTACTCTGAAATGTAATCCATGCACAAATACAAATCATTCCGCTTCTGGATAATCAGTTCAAGGAAGACGATCAATGTATTTGAAAATATCGTTCAATCGCAAACAAATGGTGCTCAAGATATCTAAGAATAGTCATCCTACTACTAACATACTCTCGCCTCTATCTTATTTTTAGGACAAACGGCTTACACTAGAACTTGCATGAACACAACTTAGCATTAATAGCCTTAAAAGAGCAGAAGGCAAGGGGGACAAACCAAGTATTTAATCGACCCAGCTTGTCTCTCGAAAACTCGGAAGAAGTATAGAAGATAAAGCCCAAATAAAAGCTCTGGTAACGATGTGAATACCAGAGGTGATACTACTAACCGCCATAATTCCAGTCGCTGCGCGATTTTCTTGTGCAAACACGATGATTGAGAAAATGAAACTGTCAGCGGAGAAAAAACTCTTGCAGTGTGAATAAAAGAATAGGAGAACCAATTTCTAATATTCAGAACCTAGAACATTTCACAGTAAGATGAACTTCGTACGAGATCCACGATTTTTCTTAGAGAAACGTACCTGATATGAAAGATTATAAGCCTTTGCATCTCCTCGAGCTGCTAATACCAAGGATACTAATCCACAAGTCACCACGATTCCCTTGGTCACAATAGCGTTTTCTGCACATCATGACACAAAGGTCTTCCAAATTACAACCTGGGTAGCGTCATAAAGCTATACCGCCCTAAGAGAAGGGTTACCCGACCCAGAAAAGTCATACCCTTAGTCTTAAAAACGAAACCAAGAGAAATATATATTCATTAATGTCCGGCACTGGTTCCCATAATTGTGTCGAGGAAGTGCTTGCTAATAGAACAATAAAACAAGCCATTGGAATGTTGATTAACGTAGTATCTACATCACGGTGACCTAGAATCTATAAAGAAAATCCCTTAAAAAAATCATCCTTAATCCTGTGATTATGGACTCCTGTTTGGAGATAGAAATTGGATGCACCTAAACTGTCCGACCTATACCGTCCCTAAACACAGATGCATCTGTAAAAAAACGAATATAATAAGTGACCATGATGCGTCCAAATGAGGAAAAGAACAACGGTCCTGCAAGGAGTGAGCTTACTAAGCCGTAGTAGGTGCACGACATTCTATAAGGCTGCACTAGATAGGAATACGACGAACAAGAGCCACAATCTCTAGAAAACGGCCTCTAAAACTTCAAATCCAGTATGTATCAACCTAAGGAGAACCTAGAAAGTGGCCACATATCCAGGGCAGTGAATTAGCATAGCCAATCCAAGCAAGCACTGTCCACAGACGACTCAACGCAACCCCACGCAGAGAGCTCCGTCGCTCGTTTCTTACTGAATCCAGAGACTCCTGCGTTCATGGTGCGCGCCGTGTACCGTAGCGGCCAAACTCCACCATATATCCCCAGTTCTTCTGGCGGGTCTTGTACACCCCCAAGACTCTATCCTCCTCACAGACGGTGGCAACAAGAACACCGCAAAACACAACTCTAAAACCAATCTTCCTCGTCCCAGCACGAAACTCTACCAGAAAAGAAAAAAAAGAAAAAAAAAAAGAAAAAAAAAAACACACGCTCACACACGTACACCCGCAAGGACAAGACAATAACCACCGGAATCTGTGAAAAGGGATCAATCGGCAATGGAAGATGAAATGGGACTAATTTGGAGCGATTGCGACACTGCCTCACAGAAACGTCGAAGTCGAGCAAAGACCCAAACCAACGCAAAAGGAAAAGGACCAAAACGACTGGATGAATAAGACAACGTAATTTTGTCATCCATCACACAAATTTCCGTCGCTGGCACCATGATCCGAGCCAATAGTTGCTGAAGTCCCACTTGATCTGCCACAACGTGGCTCAATTTCATTGGTGCCGACAAAGTCGGGATGAACATCGCTGGGGGAGCTGGCCCAATCCGATGAGGTGGCTTTCCAGCGTCCCTTCAACGACCCATGTTCTCGTGACCCTCCCCCCATACCCGTGCTTTCCTGTCCTCCGATAGCTTTAAACGACCCTCCGCCCGAACCTCCTCCTGAACCTTGGACCGACCCTCCGACCTCTTGGCTCTTTCCCTAAGTCAGGATGGATGTGGTTTGTGAATGAATAACTGCCCCTCCCTGTCCATTCGTATCCATCCTTGTAGTCCCATTCAGCTGGAATGTTCTGCCCACCGATTGGACTCATTTTTATTATTTTAGGGTTTCTTTTTGTGTACAATCACCGCAACTTGCAACTACCGCAACTTGCAACCACTTGAAAGAGATCATAGAAAAATATGGCACGTGGTTTTTCTTTTAACGTGCACTATTTATGATATGTGCACTTTAGATTTTAGGGTTTGGTATGAGGTTACATGGGTTGTGGGTGAAAGCGGGAACTTTTTTACTAAACAAGTGATGAAGCCTCCATTTAGGTAGATAAATATATAGATAGAAGTATACATAAATAGATCAACAAATATATATATATATATATATATATATATGTATAATTTGTGTTCACATCTCTTCTCTCTTTGCTTTTTTTAAATCAATGTTTTTATTAAACCATTGCTTATAATCTTTAAATAGTGCCACACGTGGCAGCTTGTAAGGCATTTCACAAGGGATTCATTGCAACATGCCAGCAGTGGAGATATTGGTGTTGTTATCGCCTAAAAACATGGCAATCAGTTGACTTTTAGTGATTTGATGAAATGCGTTTTGTATTTGTAAAGCATCGTAATGATTTTAATAAATATTTCGTAATTGAAAACTGTATAAAAAATTTGTTTGAAAAGGTTTTTAAAAACTTAAATATATTCTCAATATAATCCAAATCATGATTGATTTTATATTCCTAAAAAATATAGATGGAAATCACAGAAATATGTCTAAGTAAACATAAACCAGCGTTGTCAATCTTACAGACATTTTATTTTATTTCAGTATATTTTTATTCTTTTGGAATTCGTTGCATTTTATAATGTATTCCTTCAAAACATTTCATTGAAAACACGCTTCATGTACAGGACTTCAAAAACATTAAATCTCGTTGATTTAGTAAGAAAATACATTTAGAAAAAACACTTACATCATTATATTGGTGTTTTGTACCATATTTCAAGAATTCTATTCATCAATCCAAACTCATGCTTGAAATAGCAAAAATATATTTTTAATTTTAAATCTAAATAATAAAAAATCCCATATTATTTCCAACTCATTACTTATTAAAAAATTTAGAAATCCATATTAAAAATCAAATCAAATCCAAGTGAATTCACAAACTGAATTAGGATACTTTGAGATTACCCAACTCCACGAAATTACCTGTCCCAAAAAGTTAAAGCAACTTTATGATATCCTTTTCGAATGTGAGGGGTACGTTCACACGTGCAGGAACAGTAAAAGGCGCGCATCCTCGTTTCCAACATGCTGTAACGGCAATAGGGGCGGTGAGCACAAAACCAAGTAGGGGGACGCATGGCCGCGGCGGTGAGTGTGAGCGTGCTGCGCCTTCGCCACCGCCATAGCCAGAATGAATGTTAGATCCGTCCCTCGCTTGGTGGCGATGGTGGTTCCCAATTGCAAAGGTGCAAATTCTCAAATGGGAGTTGAGCTGTCGAATTAGCTCTCGGCGACGCTGTTGTGGAGAAATCTTACGCCGAGGACGCTGCTGCCGTAACGGGTCGATGCGATGTGAAGAACTTTTCAAAGCTTCACAATGCGTGAAGAATCACGCGCCTGAAAGAGAATGGCGGTTTAAGACAACAAGAAATTCGACACACCTGCACGAATGAGAAACCGAAGGGTTGCGATCAGAGCCTACACGAGGTCTGAGAGCGAGGGATTTCTGAAATGGGTGACGGGGAGACTGGGTGTAGTGCAACTCAAAACCGCGCAGTTCTGGTATCAGTTGCGGCGGAAGAATCATTCGGTTGATTATGACGACGACGACGACGACGACGACGGCCTCAATGTTGAGTACCCAGACGTTCCTCTCATGCACGATCCTGGAGCGTGGATGCAGGGACGACGAGGTGGAGTGGAGAAGTTCATGGCTGCCATGAGAAATGCAAACGACCGGAACTTTTCGTCCTGTTCTTCAAATCTTGTCGCCGCAGCGCTGATCTTGACAGTTGCATGGGTGAGTCTGTACTCGGGATCGCTGGCGGGTGGCGATCTGCTCATTGTCATGGACAACCTAGGGCGCCTTGCAGCTTACTTTCTCTGCGGCATCCCATGCTTCCTTGCTGCAACTTACATCACCATATTCAGCCCCGGCATCCCGAGGCGTTCAAGAGCCGCTCCTGGTGATCATCGTCGGTTCGTGGAACCTAATGTTTCTGTATGATCATGGCGAAAGCCTCAGGCATCGCGGAGCATATAACATGCTCCTGTTTGTCCTGTTCGTCGTGCCAGGGATTGTCGTTGGTGGCGTGGAGTATGCGCTGTGGCGCTTGGTAGGAGGGAGGAAACTAGTTGCTCTGCATATACTCATCTTCATCGGCGGCTCTCTTGCAATGAGGGTAGCTCTACACAATGCAGTCCAAGTCTGGGATCGAGGATTCCGCGGTGAGCGCATATTGACCGTGAAAAGTTAATTCTGCCACTTGTAAACCTGTGGACCATGGACTTCCTTGATTGGATATTCTCCCGGATGGCACCCAGAATTTATTTATTTATTTATTTATTTTGGGGGGGGGGATGGCATGTAGCAACTTGCACCAAAAAGTTGCAGCCAGTTGGAATTTTCACGTCAACTTCAGCGTGGATGGTGCCCTCAGAATCAGTGCCTCAGGGCACATGACGTATACCCCGCTTCCATCTACGGTGGATTGGCCAAAGGTCGATCAGATAGAAGGAAGCAACGAGGGTGAAACCAACATGCCGATGAACAAGATTGTGATGGTCAAAATTCGACAGGCGGGCGAGATCCCGTACAAAGCCACCAGCAGATCCTGTTACCACCAGCCGCTATAGTTCGATGCGGTGAAGTGGAGAAAATGGTGACCCAAGTAAGACCGAATCCTAAAGCTTCAAACCGGACAACGCCATTAAACCATTCTACCACTCCGAAGCTTGATGTCATCTTTCTGTTCATGGACGCAACCAGCTGCCGGGGATTCCACAGGCGCCTCCGGCGCACAGTGTCCGCACAGGAGGAAGCTGACGCCAAGAGCATGACGAGGTTGTATCAATTCTTCCGCCACAACATGATGTCATTTTCAACTGAGCACAACTTCCGAGCCATGTTCCAAGGAGTGGTACCACCACGAAACAACTCCATCTGGGTGCCGCCATTGTGGGAGGATTTTGCGAACTCCGGCTGGGTGACTCTCCACACAGCCGACCTCTGCTTCGACATCAATGCTGCTCACATGAACCAGATGACGAGGGAAGACCGGCTCAGCTTCGACCACGAGCTCATCTCCCCGTTTTGCCATTCAGATTTCTTCGCAGAGGGTTCAAATCCATGGGGCAATTTCAAGGGGCCATATGCCATCACTGCAAGGTGCTTGAAGGGTCAGCACGTCCACGAACACACCCTGCAGTACTTGGAATCGATTCAAGCTGCGTATTCCGACCGAGATAAATTCTCGTCAGCTTGGATCATGGAAGGACACGAAGCTAGCTCCGAGATCCTCCGGCTCTTGGACGATTCCTTGGCTGGGTTTGTGAGGAAGCTAACCTAGCAGGATTGGAACCACACAGCGTTGATCATTGCTGCCGACCACGGCTTGCACATGGGGCTCAATTTTGGTTTGACCCAAAACGGAGCAGTGGAGCACAAGAACCCAATGCTTGCAGTCATGTTGCCGCCGTGGTTCACATCGCAAGAGAATCACCATGAGTTGATGACAAAAAACCAGCAAAGAATGGTGACAGGATTGGATTTGTATGCAACTCTGCAGGCAATTCGGGCAGCAGGCTCGGCCGACACCGACAGATGGGTCGACGAGGCCGAGCAGCACCAGTCCAAGAGCGGCATCGACATGCTGCACCATGAAGTTCCTGAGTCCAGGACTTGCACCGACGCAGAGATTCCATCCCAGTGGTGCCAATGCCTGTGATTGTGATTGTGCGTTTTGTCGGCCGAAGCTCACATTCTTCCTCTTTCATTCCCTTCCCATGCTGCTACACACTTCCATGTCTGAGCATAACACAGAATTTCAGAATTGTAAATTGTACAACTTGTGCAATCAAATTCTTAGTATAATTTTACCTGGTTTTGTTGGTCTCATTGCCAACACAATATATACACTAGTAAGAATGCATGTATGAAAAATCACTAATACTATTAACATAAGTTGTATTGTAAATTATTCTATAATAGATAGATATTTTGATAGCAATGGAATTTACATTTGAATTATATTCAATGTTACAATTTAAAATATTTAAAACTTTTGTAATTTCTTAAATTCTTTTCTAAGTTGAACTTATCTCTAGAAGGTTTGTTCAACAATGTTTATTAAATATATGTTTTTAATTAAACTTCAAAAATTAGAGATTTACTTGTTTAAAGAAAAGAATCCAAAATACAAATAATATGAACTTAGTGCATGGCATGTAGAGAAGATTTGGCTTCTTGAAATTACCTCACAATTTACCATGAGTAACATATGAATCTTGAGAGTATGCAATTAGTTCAAGTTTTAGTAAAAAGAGAACAAGTTGTTAGCTTTCTCAAGTTGAAGTAAGTATTGGCAAATT